CAATTACGAGACCACGACATCGCAAGCCCCTCCCCTTATCGTCGCTTCTGCTAAAACCGGAATTTCAAAGAAACTTTCAAACTCGAAGTAGGTTAACTTGCTCCAATCAAGACCAAATTTCGGATTTAAGGGTTTTCGAGGTTGCTCTTTTTAGTAATGGGATTTATTTGTTGCATAGTAAACGTTCAGCAACGATAATGCTTAACAAAGATCAAAATTCAGATTCAGAGGCTTTCGAATTCCCTATTAAAACCAAAATTCAGGTTTAAGGTTTTCCGAAAAATGGACTGTTGAAAAAAAACATCCGTAGCATAGGTTTGTATGAAATTTGGTCCTGAATAGCAGAACACGGTTGAACCAAATGTGTGTGAAAATTGTTCGTATCTGGAATAGATTAAATTCAAACTATAAACAAAATTTTTGAAATTTCAAAGTAGCCTGGATTTATTCCAAAATCCCAAAATCGCATCAACCGCCTCCACTGACAGTCACATCTGCGATTCACGTGTTGCGCAGAGGTGTGTCGAAGACATTTGAAGTGTGAACAAAAAGCCGATCAGCATGCTCTGAGGAATGACCAAAAACATCCTCAGGCAAACAAGGACGAAAAGCAATTAATGCCGAATTTTTCTTATAAATAGCGGAAAAATCATTCTAAGTCTGCTATGAAGCTTTCTGACATTGAGCCAGCCTCGTGATCTCAGGGACCTCTGATATATCAGGTTTCAAGAAGTACTTGGAGCATTATCATCATCAGCGCTGTACCTTGACATATTCTTAAGACTGAATTCAGGGAAGGAAAACACTTCGGAGACACGTACGTAATCCTGTATCTGGCATTTTGATTCTATGGAAGTAATTCGGTCGTGAAAGGAACATTTTATCTCCAAAATTGTTAAACTCAAATCTCTACTGATATTGCAGCACAAAACATACAGGGTGTCCCAAACGTATGTATATACTGGATCGTTATTATCTCTCTTCCCAAGAAGTCTTTCGCGTTGCTGTAGGCACCATTTTGTAGAGCTGGCTTCAACTTGGATTTTCAGTATAAAGTGAATCACCCATCTCTTTTCGTTACTGTAGGATTACGGTAGAAACTTGAAACATATGGTGTCAATGTGGAAAAAACCGCCATTCCAAAATTTTCCAAAAAATGTGAGAACTTGTGTAATAGGGTTTTTATGGATGCTGAGTTCAATACTCAACTATTCATAAGATTGCGAAGCTTTCTAAACGGTGTAACCGCACTTTTTAAAAACAACCTCTTATCTGGCATAACTCCTCATGAAGCATCATAGTAAGTTGGAAACTTTACAGTTAGAATAAACAAGTCTAATTAGCCTAGTATAAAAGCTTTCAGGGTGTTTTGTTTCCTTTCTGAGGCAAAATATGGCCTTTCATGGCTCAAAACCTCTTTGAAGTTTCTACCGTAATCCTGCAGTAACGGAGAGATGGGTGATTCGTTCTATACTGGAAATCTAAGTTGAAGCAAGCTCTACAAAATGGTACCTAAAGCAGGGCGAAAGACTTCTTGGGAAGAGAGATATTAACGTTTAAAGTGCATACATACTTTTGGGACACCTTGTATATCGTTATGGAAAAAGCGATTTTGAGAACCCGTAAATCTGAACTTTGGTCTTGATCTGGAGAAAGAAAATTTTCAAAATCTTTGAACCCGTTTTGATCTTGTTCAAGCATAAGCGGAGTGAATGAATGAATGTTGACTTTGCAACTAACAAATCTCACTACTGGAAAGAGCAACCTTGAAAACCCATATATCCGAAATTTGGTCTTGATTGGAGCAAATTCACTTTTGAACTCTGTCTTTGAAAGTTTCTTTGAAATTCCAGTCCCAGAATCTGGAGCGACACTGAATTTGGGGCAGGCCTGGGATGTCTTGGTCTCCTGAAGAGCTCGTAATTATAGCGAGCCCGGATGTGCCTGGCAGTCACATCACCTAGGTGCGAGAATATGGCTCGGGTGAGAAACTTCCGCCCCCCCCCCCCCACTGATCGGGGGTTATCCGCAACGCTGAATCCGAAAATCCACATTAGAAGGGGCGAAAACGGCGAGAACATGCGTTTTCTAAAGCCGAACATGCGTTTTCTAAAACCTTACAATATGAAATCCGACGGTCCCCGCCAAGACTGAGACAGAGTCGCTGCGGGACCAGAGGTGCGATAGTCGGAGCCGAGTCTCCGCCTACCTTCACTTTTGAGCTGGTACGGGGTGACCACCTTCACTTTTGGGTTTGAAAAAATTTTTTTGCTGAAGCTTAAAAGAAGGAAAATAAGCAAAAGGAAGGTAAAAGGAAGTATTGAGAGCATATATCTATGTAGTAAGTCGATCCAGGGAATAACCGCCGAGAGCCAGAATTTCGAATGATAAAATAATGAAAAATCATGCGGTGATTCCATTGTTATAAATCTGCTGGTTGAAGATGTCAGCAATTGCGACTTCATAGTTTTTGAAGGGCAAGTGTTGTTCTACCAGACAATGAAAGAATTACGTCGACCTGAGCAGTGGCCGCCGAGAAGAGAATTTTGAAAAATTAAGCGATTTTAGGTTACTTAGTGACAGCTGACGTTTAGACTCCTATAAATCTGAAATGTGAAGGAGTGCAATGTTGCGACTTCATAGGTTTTGTAGAGTAAGGATTGCTGTATCGGACCATGCCTTAGCCGTAACGATCCAATGAAATGCCGCCGAGATTCAGGCTCTTGAAAAAACAAGTGAAAAACCGCTTTTTGAAATTCAACAGCGCATAACTTCTTCAGAATTGCATGAATCATGTTGCGACTTCGTAGGTTGGATTCTCCTCATCAAGAGCTTTCAGATGACATATAATATGTGAGGGTTTTGCGCCTCTCACGGCATATGCCCGGGGATGGAGACTTTTCACCCCAAAGTCTCCACTGGCGGTCTCCGGCCAATACATTAAATGGGCGAGGTGGAGACTTTGGGGTGAAAAGTCTCCACCCTGGGTTAGAGCCGCAAAAATCATTGAACCCCCCACATATTATATATCATCTGAAAGCTCTTGATGAGTAAAATCCAACCTATGAAGTCAACATGATTCATGCAATTCTGAAGAAGTTATGCGCTGTTGAATTTCAAAAAGCGGTTTTTCACTTGTTTTTTCAAGAGCCTGAATCTCGGCGGCATTTCATTGGATCGTTACGGCTAAGACATGGTCCGATACAGCAATCCTTACTCTACAAAACCTATGAAGTCGCAACATTGCACTCCTTCACATTCCAGATTTATAGGAGTTTAAGCGTCAGCTGTCACTAAGTAATCTAAAATCGCTTAATTTTTCAAAATTTTCTTCTCGGCGGCCACTGCTCAGGTCGACGTAATTCTTTCACTGTCTGGTAGAACAACACTTGCCCTTCAAAAACTATGAAGTCGCAATTGCTGACATCTTCAACCGCAAAATTTATGAAAATGGAAATTTTGCATAATTTATCGTTATTTTATTATTCAAAATTCTGGTTCTCGGCGGTTATTCCCTGGATCGACCTACTTTGTTTGCAGTACGTTATGACAAAATTTACTTGATAAAATCCCTACAGTCCCGCTATCTTTTACTTCCAAATACTCCATTTACTAAACACGTTTATTTCAAATATATATGCCGCCATATACCTAAAAATATGCTTTCAATAATCTTTTTTGCGTTTGTTTTGCTTATGTTCCGCACACTGGCGGCAACGACCTGGAAGGATAGGCTCAGTCTACGTTAACCCCCCCTCCCCCCCCCCCCCGTCGACGTTTTTGGGAGGTGAGTGTCCGGCACTACCACCTTCACTTTAGGCCGGTCAGTGGTAGCTGGAACCACCTTCACTTTTGGGGGGCCCGGCTCCACCTATCGCACCTCTGTGCAGGACGCTGTGATTTTGACTGTGGCGGCATGCGTACTCCGCCGCATAGCAGAAATTCAAACTGGTCGAGTACCCCGTCCCAATGGTAAATCTCCCCACTTACCCGGGCCTGTTCGCTGTGCTGAATCCGAAAATCCACAATGGAGAGCGCGGAACGGCAAAAAGGGCTTTAACGCAGGAGGGAAATCAGGTGCACCGGGTCTTCCCCACTGTGAATTCACGCTCCCATCTTCCGGAGCCATCTTCTTAATTCACTAAGCCCTAGCATCGCTGTCAGCCGAGTGCGAACGCGTGACTTAAAGGACCGAGAAGATTGCTGCGGAAGGTGGGAGCGTGAGTTCACAGTGGGGAGTACCCACCCACCTGCTGATTTCCCGCGTTAGAGAGCCCTTTTTCGCGCTCTCCAGTGTGAATTTTCGGCTTCAGCATAGCGAATAGGCCAAGGTAAGCACAAAATCTCAAAATCGACTTTTTGTCCGGACGCTGAAACGTGAAGAAGATGCAAGCAATCTCTCAAAATATCGCATTTATGGCAGTCGGCATAGTTGACCTCCTTCGTTACATGCCATTTCTGGTTTGTAATTTCATCGCGACGGTGGAAATAAAACACTGTCAGCTTTCATAGATACGACGCCAAATGGCAAATCAGTGACTGCACCGTTTTACACGAAGTAGACATAGTGGATTAACTAGGCCTGAGCCTGTGTTTTTTGTAACAGACCCTTAAGCTACCGCATGACGAAGGCGCAATATCTTTGGGCGCGAATGTAGTTTTATTAGCCGGAGAGCGAATGGGTTCGAGGTTCACAATGTCGGAGATACGTGCGCGCCGCGTTCGCGCCCGCTCAATGATACTGCTACTGCGCCTTCGTCCGGCAGTGGCCTTTATACACTAACAGTACTGATGCTTTCTTACAATTTGTTATAACACGCCGAACTTCTCCGAAAGGAGAACAAACAGTTTCGAGAATTTCCAGATTTTTGTGTAGAAAAGAGGATGATGAACTAGTGAGTGGCACTGATGGGAACCATCGTAAGTGCACAAAGTAAACTGACAACCACTGCAATCCTAACAGCTAGAATGCTTGAAAGCAGCCAAGCCTTTGTCACCAATCATTCGAAAAAGAGGAAAAGGTGATGCGAATCGTTTATCTCAGTACAAAGACTTTCAATCATGCAACTCAGCAAAAAAGATCCAAAAACATTGAATGCCCTCCAACCATGAGTACGTAGCAAGTCTGAAAATATGACAATGATAATAAAAAAACACTTTTCGAGAACATTTACCGAAGTAGATGGCCATGGCGGCTTGAAGTATTGTCAGAAAAAGAACATACCACTGCTCAAATCGCTTGTATTCCATACAATCGGGTGGTTTGACTTCTGTTCGCTTCTTGCTAATCTCCGCCCAGTTTGTAGACAACACCGTTCCGCCTGATTCTCTATAAATTCCAATAAGATAAGCCTATATTCATTTGGAAACTTACTGATAGCTCTTGATCATAGCTTTTTTCACATCATCCGAAGCTTCACTGTACAACTTTCTGAACATGCGATTGACCGCTGCGTCACCCTCTAACTGTTCATTTTCTTCTTCTTCGATAGCTTTCTAAATCAGTTCAGATCGCATAGAAGTGAAGAAGAGGATAAATACAGTATTTGGGACTCGATAGCATTGCTATGCAGAGAGTATACAAATGTTGCTGACAGGGAAACCCTTCGAATTTTAAACACGAATAATTATAGCGTCCAGGGGCCTATCCGGACCGAATACAAATTGGATGAGGATTCAATAAAGTCATTTCCACCATGCAATCTGCTCAGTATTTGGCACACACCATCTTTACTGGTCAAATTGATGAATTGACCATTGGCGAGGAGAAATTGATCAAGTGAACATCCACTTCGCAGTTGGTCAATTCACATCTGACCAATAGCGAAGGTTCATCAGGTAGTGAAGTAAATCAAGTATGAGCGTGCCTTTGCGGCCGCTTTCGTGCTTGCCGCGGCCACACACCTATATTTCGCATAAACCCGCTCAGTGGAGACCGGACCCGGATTACGGCCATCTATGACACCACATAATGCTGCGCTGTAGGAAATTAGTTACCCTTTCAATGGCTTCCCAATCCTTGGACTGATGATGGGATTCAGCAGTAGTCGGCGCGGCAGATGAGGCACCAAGCATGGACCAGTGTCCAGCGCTCGCTTTCGGCATTCGCACTTCTACCTAAAAACTAGAATGTTTTTAGCAAATTTGCCTTCATATGACCACTTGATGTCTTGACTCATTAGTTCCACACGCTAACACTTGACCTTTTGTAGTCATCCTCTCCGTTGAAATCGAAATCAGGCACCGACAAGTAAGGCAGGGTTCATACTGAGCCGCACAAAGCGGCACAGTTCGAGCACAGTTCGAGCGCTGTGCTGGAACTGTGCCGCTTTGTGCGGCTCAGTATGAACCATGCCTAAGAGAGCTTACTCCTGCGCCAGAGCTCTAAAGCTCTTATACTTCCACAACAGCCCATTAAATCATACCTTAGAAGGGGTGCAGGTGACAGTGAAATTCTTCTCATCAACGGGTCTTGCAAGAGTTGTCTCAAAAAGAAGCTCATCTCCCGAGTAAACTTTGATATCGTTATCGTTGAAAGTTACTCTATAACTTTGCTATATCAAGAATACATCTCCGCAACAAAATAAAGATACCTGCAGTCGCTCAAAGCCACTCCCTTCTTCAAAATGGTGATCGTAACACAGTTGTCAGTTTGAAACCAATCGTATCTGTGATAGCTACTCAGTGAAACGGTGCAAGTAGAAAGAGAGAGAGAGGGAGAGAGATTATAGGGCTAGCATTATGAGCTTGAATTGGTACGCTTCGGTCTTTTTCTTCCTGTGGTCGTATTCACCAACGAGCCCATAGGTTCCGTCCACTAGGTGGCTTTATCCAAAAGTATTTGAAAAACAGATTTGACGGACCCAGAACAGCACTTGTGGGCGCCATCTAAATCTGCTTAAAGGCAATCTCCAAGCAAAAAGTTGATTTTGAGATGTGTTTACCCGGGCCTATTCGCCGTGCTGAATCCGATAAACCACAATGGAGAGCGCGAAAACGCCAAAAAAGGCTCTAACGCAGGAGGGAAATCGCAGGTGAGCAAGGCCGTTCACACCGTGACATCACTCTCCCAGGTTTTAGGAGCGATCTTCTCAATTCCAATTAAATGAGTACTCTGCGTTGATACCACTGCTTTGGTGATGTTAGGGCGACTAGAGGAAACGAGAAGATCGCTCCTGAAGCTGAGAGAGTGATGCCACTATGTGAACAGCCCTGCCTACCGGCAATTTCCCTCCTCTGCTAGAATCTTTTTCGCCGTTTTCGCGCTCTCCAGTGTTATTTTTCGAATATAGCGAATAGGCCGGTAATCTCGAAAGCGACTTTTTGGTTGGACATTGCCTTTAAAGGCAGCGTCCAGGCATGTGGACCTATGGGGATTTTACCTAGAGAGTAATTTTGGGCCTTAACTAAGGCCCCAAAATCACTCTCCTAGGTAAAATCCCCGTAAGTTCCAGACGGCAGCGCAGGTGACTCACTTACGACTGAGATATACACCTCCAAACTGGACCCCAGGATCGTATTTCGCATGGATTCATGGCGCAAACCCATCAGTTTCGCGCGAAAGTCCATGCGGAGTACAATCCTGGGGTCCAGTTTCGAGGGAAATATCCTCAGCCGTTGGAGTACTGCCTGAGCTGCCGGTTGGGCAGTGGCTTAGTTGGGGCCTCAAAATTACTATCCACGTGAGATTTTCATACGCCCAAATTTGTCTGGACGCTGCCTTTAAAGGCACCGTCCACCCTAAGTTCAGAGTGTTGAGCTTTTGGCAGCATATAATAGTAGGGCCTCCTATCAAGCCAATGCCCAAGTCGCGGCGCAAAATGCCGCTTCGGAAGCGAGAAATTCGCTTCGGATAGCGAAATGCGCGAGGACCCCCATCCATGCCCGCCCCTCCCCATCCATGCCCGCCCATTTGTGCGCGCTCATCCAATCACCGTTCTGGAAAGCCGGCCTGTGAGTTCTTCCAGAATGGGGATTGTCGGGGGTTTTCGCGGATTCTCGACTTTATATTTGGAATCAGGGACATGAGAAGGCCCTAAAACGACAAAAACCTGGAAGTCGAGAATCTGGGTGGACGGTACCTTTAAATAGGTTTAGATGGCGCCTGCGAAAATCGGCACCACTTGAGACCTTGGGGGAGACCTCGCGACTTATAGTGCGCACAACTTCAAGCCCTTGTGGATTGGCCATATTTGATCGCGCGGACTGCGGACTTGAGGAATGAACACCTCAAGGCATTGCCTCCGGGAGCTGCTGGTCCCTTCATCCTATAGTTGTGCATCCATCGTTGGGACCAGTAGTCTGCAGAAGCGGTGCCTAATTGAGGTGTTCGTTCCTCCATCCGAGACTGCGCACAAGAAAAGTTAACTATTTACGTAATACCAGACGCACAGCTATTGCATCTGCCGCCTTACCTAACATGCGAACCCGTATCACTAATTCAGAGGTCTTAGGGGAAAACCCTAAAGTCACCATGGCCTCCACATGGCATATGCATGGAAATAGTAGTCTCCGAACGCTGATCTTAAAGGCACCGTCCACCCTAAGTTGAGGGTGTTGAGCTTTTGGCAGCATATAATAGTAGGGCCCCCTATCAATCCAATGCCCAAGTCGCGGAGCAAAATGCCGCTTCGGAAGCGAGAAAATCGCCTCGGAATCGGGAAGATGCACGTGGACCCCCATCCATGCCCGCCCCTCCCCATCCATGCCCGCCCATTTGTGCGCGCCCATCCAATCACCGTTCTGGAAAGCCAGCCTGTGGGTTCTCCGGAACGGGGATTGTCGGGGTGTTTTCGAGCATTCTCGACTTCATGTTTGGAATCAGGGACATGAGAAGGCCCTGAAACGACAAAAAAGTGGAAGTCGAAAATCTGGATGGACGGTGCCTTTAAACCTACGTTCGCTATATGCACAGCGATTTTTCTGAAGGAAGTCATGAATGGTTTTTGGATGAGATTTGTGTGGTACTAGACAGTCGAAATCATCAGTGTTTGCCAATTTGCATGCTTCAGCAACGGCGCCGAAATAACTAACCAGACACCATTATATATGAAACAATTCTTTTGAATCTGATAGCCGAAGAAGGAAGAAAATTTCGCGACTTCCTTTTTGACTCTATACAACAGTGCAACTTCGTCATCGGCAACATTCATAACTTCTTCGATGAAGTCGGTGCAGATAAACATAGATTTGAGATCAGTGTTCGGAGACAAGAATTCCCACATGTATACGACTCATGTGGAAAAGCCACGGTGGCTGGTGTCCCTCCTTTGTTAGTAAGGTCCATTCATAAAATCGTGGTGACAGATTTAACTGCGGTCTTTGCACCCATAGGGGCATAACACCCTTATACAAAAAGGCGTCACCTCAACGCTCAGCTCAGTCACTTCCAGTGGTCAAGTACTACCGTACCTAAGCAAAAAAAACCAGTTGCGAAAAAAATTAATTTTAAGAAAATACGGTTGCCGGAAGGTGTGTGCGTGTCGCACACCATCGTCACGATTTTTCGAATGCCCTTTATAAAGAGTGACAGACAGAGTCAAGCAAGGGGTGTGCACACGATCGCTGGTTACGACCCCCCCCCCCCCCCCCCCCCCCCGATTGCTGTCTTATAAAGACCCCCCCCCCCTGAACTATACGCTTAAGATAGCATTACTTGAAGGCCCTGTCAAACATAATGGGCAACATATCCATAATTAGCATGTCAAATAACCCCTGTAGACAAAGTGTGAGCGAATTATGAAGATTCAAGATACTAGGCTACCTTAGTGAAATGGTCAAATTCCAACATGGTTAACTTTGTTTCACAGGTGAATTAGCTATCCGTTTTTGCACTCAAGACAAAACACTACTCCTTCTTTGTCTACCTCAGGAATCCCGCTTCAGAAGACCTCCAAAGTGTGGAATTAAAAGCCAACCAAAATCTCGTTTTTCCCATTTTTCGCTTTTGATTGCTGTGCTTTCACCAATATTACTCAGACCTAAGAAGACGAATCAGGCTCCAAACAGTCTTATGGAATCTACAAGGTTTAGGCTATCGATTCATATAAATACTGTTCGCTAAAATTGTTCAAAATTCGCTCACACTTTGTCTACAGGGGTTATTTGACATGCTAATTATGGATAGGATACGAATATCATGTTATCACTATTATCAAATTACCCAGCTACGACCCTCTCCCCTTTTGACTCCTCAATACGACCCCCCAGGTGTGGCGTGCCGCACCCCACGCTTGACCCTGGTGACAGATTAGGCGCAGATCAGCCACGCCTCTTCTTGGCGGTTGCCTGAGGTACGAACCAAAGCGAATTTTCCGCGCGACACCACAACTGGACATTAGAGGCAGTGGCTCGGGTAAAATCGCGACCGGGGGGCTTTCCACAACTGGCCTTGTGGACCAGCTGAGTCGGGTACTGTGCTTGAAAAGTCAGATAGCTGTTTGGCGTTTTCCGGCCATGAAGGTTGCTAAAAAGGCGCGGCGAGGGACTCCCCACCATAAACAGCAGTTCGCTGCAGGAGACTGTAACCCCACCTATTGGTCGGAAGACACCAAAAAAGCACTTTCTGATTTTCAAGACACCTGATTCAGCTGGTCCAGAAGGCCATGTATGTATTTGTGAAAAGTCCCCCAGTCGCGACTTTCCCAGCCACTGCCTTTGAAGGCAGTGTCCGGAAAGGTGAAGGATTTTGGTATTTCAGTGCCATGCGAAAGTGGGCCCCCTCGACACGGCACCGCGCAAGTGCCGAAGCTATAGCGTTAGGTCAGAAGCAAGAAAAATGATCGGAAAGTGGGGGAAACGTACCCTTATAGGCGGGTTTTCCACCCGTTTGAATTCCTGCTCTGCGGCAGAGCACGCATGCCGCCACAGTCAAAGGCGGTAGGGTCCCGCAGGTACTTGCGTCTCAGCCTCGTTCATACTGATAAGCAGCCTCGTTCATACTGATAAGTCTGGGAACAGTTCCAAACTGTTCCCGGACTTCGGGATCAGTATGAAAGCAGCCTTAGCGGGGAACCGTCCAATATCAAATAGTAAGGCTTCGTGAAACAAATGTTTTCGCCGTTTTCGCGCTTTTTAATGTGGTTTTCGGATTCAGCGTTGCGCATAATCCGTAAGCGGATTTTCTAAAAATCGCGTTCTTGCCCGGACACTGCCTTTAACAGTTGACAATTCAGCACTCTTTGTGCAGTGTCGCTTATGGCATCGAGCCACTCAGACAATCACAGGCCCTCAGCCGGCGGCGATAAAGGGCAGTTTCACTGAGCGGGCGGCGATAGTGCAAAAGTGGCAGTGAGCGGGCGACGACATTGTAGGAATGGCGGTGAGCGGGCAGCGACGGGCTACCAGCGGGCAGCTATAATCTTCCATGAGTCAGAAAATAGCTGCAGAGCGCATTCATTCCTACAAAAGCAGCCAAAAGGCGACGATGAGGCAGCGACTCCGTTAAGCTGGCAGCGACCGTGAAACGATGGGGCTGCGAATACAAGATTTCTGTCAGCGGGCCGCATCAATGAGTACTCTGCGTTGATACCACTGCTT